CGTTTAATAAAAGTATCTCAGGATGAAATGGGGTTACAACTTTCAAAATTTGTTCCTTTTTATAATGAATTATTTTCCAGGATTGCTGAGCTTTGCAACATTGCCACTACACATGTAAGAATGATAAAATCTTTTCATTACACTTCCAGGATTTCATAGAAAAGAAGTTATTCGTTTTCACAGTCATGACTAGGGTAATGTACTAGTGCTAAAACATCTTACAAAAATTCTTTCCAAGTACAATCTTCAAGGTAAATTTAATATTATTTTTCCACTGAAATTCCCACTCTTCTATCTCCATAACAATTCCTCTGTTTAATGATAAAATCTTTGACTTTTTCTGTTTCTGAATCATATTTCACTAATAAATTATACATGGTTAACAAACATTCACTATTATAAGATGTAACATTTTCAAATTCAATCAAGTTTCTCTATGTTCTTCCTTGTTTCCATCAGGAAAAAAAACATTAATACAGAAATATACATGGTGACAATTTAACTGAAAGAGATGAAGCTGGAACAAACCACTCAGGTTTTCCCTGGGAAGTTTAGCAAGTTGTCTTCTTCAGGTGTTACCAAGTAACAACAAGACCACCTGCCAGGGACTCTTACAAAGTTGACTTCCTTGACAATATAGCTTAAGTTTCTTAGACTTGTTCTGGCAGTCCCAAGATGTCTCAAGAATGTTGCCCCATGTTTAGAGATGGGTTTGGATTCTGTAGATAGTAGAGCTCAGTATTATCCTTTTGATTTCTGCCTATACCAAATTTTCTTTCTGGTGATTTTGGCCCCTCTGATTCTTTGAAAACAGAAGTCAATTTAACTAAAATAAATCTGTTGGCAAATTTCACTCCACAGGACTCTCATTAGGAAGCCATTGCCCTTTATGTTCTGAAAATGCCAAAAATGCTCTAAAGCAGTCTATCTGGGATATTGATTTTCAAATTTAACTAAGCCTGGTTCTGTACTTTTCAGCTCTGGGGATTTTTGTTTTTTTACATCCTGCCTTTCGTCCATTACTGTTTTGCAACTCTGTTGGACTTTCCTCTAGCCAGGTTTGATGCCTCGCTCTCTGCTGCTCTGTTGGGATGCTATAAAAACAACCCCAAAAGAGCCACAGATGCCCTTGTGGGGATGGCTCCGTAGTTTCTGAGTCACATGCTTCGTTTCTGCTCTCTTTACATCCTTCCCATCCTGATGAAATGCCCAGGTTGAGAACATGACTTCTGTCTGTCAGTCTTTCCATCCATCCATGTTCAGATATCCAGAGTTGCTCAATTTTGTGCCCTTAACTGTACACATATATGTCCATCTTTTGTTGTGACTGAAGAATTGTATTAATTTAAGCCTTCTGCTTTTTACTTGATTATATGTTATGTATCTTTTATATTTATAGTATATAAGTACCTGCTTAGTTTGTATTTGACTTCCGGCCTTATGGCGGTAATAATAAAGAACTGATCTGAATTTGCTGGGAATAGAAACTGTTCAACATTAGGTTTCAATCAATCAATCAAGATTTTATTATGATCACAGACCAGAATTACAAATAAAATGCATTAAAAATGAAATAAAACAAAATATGATAATATATTACAGTTAATGGTGTGATCATCAGTGGGCAATCAAAGTCTGCCTAATTTTATAGACAATATAACAAAATTAGCTATGCTCAAAGAAACTGAATCATACTGATCAGATGGCAACAAATGTTCATAAAAAAGATAGGAATTTCCTGGGTATTTTACCAAATAGGGAGTTATAAAATGGGTCCATGAGTCCTTATAGAAGGTACAGTATAGCAGGACATGAGCTACAGTTTTAAAAGCCCCTTGTCCACAAAGGCACAGACTCAGCTGATATGGAAATTTTTCGTATCAGCCCACCAAAAATGCTGTAGGAAGAGCATTGCAATGTGCTAGAGTTAGTGCCCTTCAGAATTTGGAGACAGTTATATCATGTATCTCACTGGTTTATAAAAAAGGGCTTGACTGCTCAGAAAAATGTTGTTAGGTAGAGCAGACTGATCCTATTGGACTTCCAGGTCTTTGATACATTGTTCAAATGCACTAAGGGCACGCTCGTGGCCCATCATTAGGAACACCTCCCTGGAGAAGCCTAGATGTTGAAGTTTTTGTAAAATAGTCCTGGCCATACTGATTTATAATTGTCCTCAATAAGGAAAGAACTCAAACCTGTGGGAAAAAACAGTAATTTCAGCCAACGTGCTATAACACAAGTCCATGCACCTGTTTCGACTTTAGGGAACCCTCCCTCCCCCCTTAATACAACAGCTGGAACGCAGGGAG